GAGGCTTGGTCATATGGGGGAGAAGGGGATGCAGCTATTGTCCAAGAGGGGTCTTCTATCCGGGGTCAAGGTTGCCAACCTTGAATTTTGTGAGCATTGTGTGTTTGGAAAGAAACACAGGTCAAAGTTCAGCAAGGGTGCTCACATTACTGATGCAGTGCTCGATTACATCCATTCAGATTGCTGGGGTCCATCTAGAGTTGAAGGTATGGGAGGTTACCACTATTTTGTGTCATTTGTTGACGACAAGTCCCGATACACATGGCTTAGGTTGCTTAAGTCAAAGGATGAGGCCTTCAAAGTTTTCAAGCAATGGAAAGCTTTGGTGGAAAATCGACAAGGAAGGAAGATCAAGAAGCTACGAACGGACAATGGGCTAGAGTTTTGCAAAGACGAGTTTAATCAGTTCTGTGCAGATGAGGGTATAGGTCGGCATCATACTGTCAGGAAGACACCACAGCAGAACGGTGTAGCAGAACGGGTTAATCAGACACTGCTAGAGAGAGTTCGATGCATGCTCTCTAATGCAGGGCTTGGGAGGAGGTACTGGAGTGAAGCTGTGTTAACAGCTTGTTATGTCATTAATAGGGGTCCTCATTCTGGAATTGATTCCAAAATTCCGTTTGAGATCTGGAGTGGTAAGTTGCCTAATTTTTCGAATTTGAAGATTTTTGGTTGTGTTGCTTATTATCATGTTATTGAGGGTAAGCTGGATCCACGAGCCAAGAAGGGGTGTTTTGTTGGGTACGGGGATGGTGTGAAGGGGTTTAGAATTTTTTCACCTTCGGAGGGTCGGGTCATTCTTAGTAGGGATGTTACTTTCGATGAAAACACCATGTATTCAATTAAAAATGCAGAGATTTCAGATTTGAGAAGGGAAGGAGACAATTTATTACAGACAGATGGGGTACTTGAGGTACATCAGTCTACCATTGCTGATTTACCTCGGGTACAATATATTGATGATGATGCTGATGTTCCAGTGCCGGGTACTCCTGAACCTGAGATTACTCCTACTCATTCTAACTCTGGGGATGAGGTGGAGCAATCTAATCAGGGGTCATCTAGTCAACCTGACACCATTCTTGAGATGCCTAAACGAGTTATCAAGAAGCCTGTTAGATTGATTGAAGAGATGGAGGGAAGAAATTGCTGTGTTGATGCGATGACAGGTTATGCATTGAGTGTAGCTGATGATGTAGAGTCATTTGAACCTGCCACATATAAACAAGCAATTAGTTGTAGTGAGTCTGCGCAATGGCTTGCCGCAATGGGTGAAGAGATGCAGTCTCTTTACAAGAACAGAGTGTGGGAACTGGTAAAGGTACCGGAAGGGAGGAAGCTTGTGGGTTGTAAATGGATTTACAAGAAGAAAGAAGGGTTGTCGGAAACTGAGCAAATACGTTTTAAGGCTAGGCTAGTTGCTAAGGGGTTCAGTCAGGTAGAAGGGGTTGATTTTGTTGAGATATTCTCACCTGTGGTTCGACATACTTCTATCCGTGTGTTATTGTCAATTGTAGCACATTTTGATCTTGAGCTGGAGCAGTTGGATGTTAAAACGGCTTTCCTTCATGGCGATTTGGAGGAGGAGATTCTGATGAAGCAGCCCGAAGGATTCGAAGTTCCTGGAAAGGAACACTATGCCTGCAGATTGCTAAAGTCATTGTATGGACTTAAGCAATCCCCCCGACAGTGGTACAAAAGGTTTGATTCTTTTATGGTTTCACAAGGTTTTGACAGGAATTCATATGATTGCTGTGTGTATCATAGTAAGCTGGATAATGGTTCCATGATTTATCTTTTGTTATATGTTGATGACATGTTGGTTGCCACAAAGAATAAATCTGATATTGCTAGATTAAAGGAGATGCTTAACTCGGAGTTTGACATGAAAGACTTGGGTGCAGCTAGGAAGATTTTGGGTATGGAGATCTACAGGGATCGGGCTAGAGGTAAGCTTTTCTTGACTCAGAAAAGCTACATTGAAAAGATTTTGTCTCGTTTTGGGATGGAAAAATCGAAGCCTATAAGTACGCCAACTACTGTTAGTTGTAAGTTGTCTTTGTCTATGTCACCTCAATCAGAGGAGGAGTTGTCTTATATGTCTAGAGTTCCATATGCAAACGCGGTTGGTTGTTTGATGTATGCTATGGTCTGTACTAGGCCGGATATTGCGCATGCTGTTAGTGTTGTAAGCAGGTTTATGGCTCGACCTGGGAGGGAACACTGGCAAGGGGTGAAAAGGATTTTTCGCTACCTGAGAGGGACAACTGATATTGGTCTTGTGTACGGGAATGGTAGGGAATGCTTGGTCACTGGGTACAGTGATTCTGATTATGCAGCTGATGTGGATACCAGGAGGTCTGTGACTGGTTATGTGTTCACTTTGGGTGGTTCTGTGGTTAGTTGGAAGTCTACATTGCAGTCATCAGTTACGTTGTCAACTACTGAAGCTGAGTATATGGCTTTAACTTCTGCAGCTAAGGAGTCTATTTGGCTCAAAGGCCTAGTAGGTGAACTGGGTATTGCACAGGATTTTGCTACAGTATATTGTGATAGTCTAAGTGCGATTTGCTTAGCTAAAGATCAAGTACACCATGATCGGACGAAGCACATTGATGTCAGGTATCATTTCTTGCGTACTGACAAGAGGATTAAGGTGAAGAAGATTGGGACTGCTGACAACCCGGCTGATTTCTTCACTAAGCCTGTTCCGTTTAGCAAGTTTAAACATTGCTTAGACTTGTTAAATATTGATTACTACGTGATGTAGTAGGCCCTGAGGGGCGAAGTTGGGGAGCTCCTGGTGTAGGTGTGTTGGCCTTAAGGTGGAGCTTGCCCGGGGCTTGTGATGCAGGTGGAGCATTATGAGTTGTTATACTTGGAGACGAGTATGTGATGGGTCTTGGTTGAAGACTTATCGGGATGTATGGCTTATGCATGAGTCCTGCATCGGGTTTGGCTTGAGATGTTTTTTCACTATGTCTTGATGGGGTCGTTTGCTGACTACGAGTTCTCGTCAAGGTGGAGATTGTTGATAAGTATATTAGGTGACTCGTACTTCGTAGCTTTGTCCGCCCGATCGGGCGGACATTGCCCGGTCTGACCGGGCGGAAGAAGAAGAGGTGCCTGGCAAATTCGTTGAAGAAGCTGCTCTCGCGCCCGACCGGGCGAGCCTTCGCCCGACCGGGCGAGCCTTCGCCCGATCGGGCAGACCTTGCCCGGTCTGACCGGGCGGTGGGGGTTGGATACGTTGAAGCATTCGTATGGAGTTTTCTTCTCGCGCCCGATCGGGCAGACCTTGCCCGGTCTGACCGGGCGGAGAAGGAAAAATACGGAACGCGGATTTTGCGGTTTTAGGTTATCTTATTTTATTATCTTTTTTCCCAAGTATCTTTTAATTAGGGATTAATATAAAACCTCCCTAATATCAGTATTAGGGTTAAGAGAGACAGAGTGAAAGCCGTTCTTGAGAAATACAAGAATCATCTTTGTAATCTTTGCAGTTTATAGTGAAATCATTCGATCTCGGTGCCCGTGGACGTAGCTATCACATCGATAGTGAACCACGTAAATTCTTGGTGTTGTTCTTATTGTTTGCATTGAATTTCTTTATTGTTTTCTTGTTTGTTTACGACCTTTGCTTCCGCTGTCGCACAACAATATATATATATATATATATATATATATGAAGAAGCTTTCAATAAGTTTCAATTCATTCAACTAGGGTTATGTTCTTTTTACCCTGAAAATACAAATTTTTGAAGGAACAAAAAATTTCAATAAAGACTAATGAAGTCATGTTCTCTCCATCTTAATTACAAAAATATTAATTAAAATAATTTCAAATCGTAAAAATAATCAGTAAGTCTTGTACTTCCTCCGTTTTAGTAATATTGTAACAAATGGACTTTTGCATTATTCATCACGCTTGTTTAACCACATATTATGATTTATACATAAAGTAAAATATAGTTATGTGGGGTCCTGTTAGATTCGTAAAATACTTTCACAATATCAACTTTTTATAATTTTTACTCTTATATAATTATGGATATTTAACATATAAAATGTGCTTTAGGATGTGTAATTTCATCCTTATTGCAATATTTGTGGAACAGAGGAAGTATGTGGCTAGCCACACGGTATGGCCATATTGAGTTATAAGAGTAATCTTCATTTGTATGTATGACTAACCCTATTTATTCATAAAAGTAACCCCATTTTGTCCATAAAAGTAACCAAAATTCATTACATGACTAATATAAAGTAATTTAAAAATAAGTAACCCGCCTATTTGTTCATTCAAGTAACCCTTAATGTTTTATTTCAAATAAATAAAAGAATGATTCCTCTCATTTAAGAGACTATCCCTCTTTTCTCATTAAGTAACCCACATACGTCAAGGTAACCCCATTTTTTCATCACTGTGACCCCTATTACTTAATTAATTGTCTTATATGTGAAGTGGTCATACCACGTAGCTAGATACATATAAGAATTTGTGAAAAATAATAATTAAATCTAGCTTAGGGCGTGTTCAGCAAAATATAGCTGTGAAGGTAGTTGTTAGCTGTGTAGGTATTTGTTAGTTGTCAACAAGCTGTTAGCTATGAAGATAAATAATTTAGGTATGAGTGTTTGGTAAAGTAACGGTTGACTAGCTGTTACATATAAAAATTAATATTTTATTTTTAAAACTATAGATTAAATTTTCAAAAGCTACCTCTAATTTCAAAGCTAATATTTCTAACTTTTGATAAAAACTACCTCCACTACTGAAAATTATCTCAACCACTACATTGCCAAACACTAATATTTTTTATTAAGTAGTGGTTTGACTTGGTCAAACCACTAAAGCTACTCAAAAGCTAGCGTCGAACACACCAGAACGATGTAATAATAAAACAATAAGTTCATAGGATATACAAAGAGAGAACAACTTTAAAAATGCAATGTTGAAAAAATTCTACGTGGATATATATTGTATCGCTATTTTGGCTCGAATAATATTTCGATAACATACATCTTAATTAAGTTGGAATTTTTCGAAATGATGGTACAATTTTGTTAGGGTTGGTACATAACAGCTAACCTGAACCAATAATCCGACTTAATTTCAATCCGATCGAATTTTTCTTAAAATAATAATTAATTAAGACCAACTAGTGAATTGAATTCTTTGACATTGCTAATAGCCTACTAGTTAAAATCTTAGGTTAAAAACAATCCACATCTTTCTCATCCACCATAATATAATGTGAGAAAAAGTAATTAATTCTCAATGTTCTCAAATCAAATGCAACGTAGTAACTTCAATTCAAAAGTTGTTCATCCAAGAATCATCCCATTCCCATAGAAGCTCTTGCTGATCATATACTTCCATGTCCATTAAAATGTTTAATTGATCATTATTATTATAATTTGTTCCTCGAGAAGGATCATTAGTATTGTTGTTATTATTAGCTGCAGCTTGATGATGACCCCCTGAGGATGAGGAACTCTCACTTGATCTCCACCTTCTAGTCTCGACCCTCGATCGAGCTTGTTCAGATGAACTTGGTTGATCATTATCAACTTGATGAACTAGTACTGGTCTGTTCATGGGTGGTGGTGGTGGTGCAGCCGGCCGCCTATCGAATGCTCGTAAGCTCTTTGATTTTATGTAAACTCTGCATACTGTAAACTCTCCCTTTTGCTGTATACATCAAATCGTTTGTCAAAAGACAATTTTTTTGCACATTACGATTGTAATCTCAAAGATGAGCATGCAAGATGCATGTTTTTATGAGAAATGTTACATAAAATATTTCGCAAACAAATGTCAACAAATAGGCAATTATTTTGTTTAAAAATGTTAAAATGTAGGAAAAAATCACTTTGATAAGCTTGTGTCATCTTTGAAGCGGTCATTTGAATATGACTATCATATTATTTTAATGATAAACAATATGATCGGTTCCATTTCCACATTGAATATGGAGACAATTATTTTTTTAATATCTATAATGTAAATAAAATTTTTGAAAATTTTAATCCAACATAAAATAAATATTTTTTGAGAAACTATAAAATAAGAATAAAAGTTACATAAATAAAACTAAAAATTTGATAAATAAAAAAAATGTTGATGATGCTATTTTATACACTAAAAATAAAGTAATACAGTATAATTTATAATTTTGAGAAAAATATGTCAATTAAAAAAATGTTGATAATGCTATTTTATACACTAAAAATAAAGTAATATAATTTATTATTTTGAGAAACATATGTCAATTATGAACTTCATAATCATTAAAACAGATTTTTTTTGTCTTCTCAAATTCCTTTATTATACAAATATTTCAGTAAAAATTACGAAATAAAGAGTGAAAACTACTCTTTTTCCAAAAAGAATTAAATTATATGAGGCTAATCTAGAAAGTTGACAAAAGAAGCCAAAAAAATATTCGGAATTTTGGAGTAATAAAAAATTGGCAAAAGCTAACGAGTGTCCCTGGGGCGTTAGATAAGAGAGCTAAACGTAGAAATATTATACGAGTAGTAAATTAACATTAATTACATTGATCGACTCGTAATTTTGTTATGCATTCCTAATTTAATACTATTTTAAGTAATATATTAATCCCTAATCTAATATCCCGGGACGCTCGTTAGCTATCTTGAATAAATTTGGGTTATTGCTAAATGACGAATAAAAACAAAACGCCCCCGACCAAAATTCAATAGAATTTCCATAATCTATCTTGACTAATTTTCAAGTTTCGTTCAAAAAAAATTGTGCTTTGTAGCGGTCATGCTGAAAGTAGGCAAATTTGTTTTTGCTTGTCTTGGTATACAATTAGTACTTTTAAACAATTATTTATTTTTATCTTATGACATGCAATTTTAAATTCAATTTATAAATTGTCACGTTTTATGTGTCGTCTCCTTAAGAAAATTCTCTCTTTTTTTAAACCAAAAAAATTCTCTTTAATGTAGGTAATTACTAAATTGATTTACATAGATTCCGACCACTATTTCAAAAGTATCACTAAAATATTCAAATTAATATATAACAAGATCTTAAAACTTTGAAAATTAGGCATGTTCAATTCACCTGATTTTTACTAAACTGAAACTATTTTTACTAAATTAAAATTACTTTTGTAGAATTTAAATTATTTCTACTGAATTTAAATTAATTTTACTGAACTGAAATTAATTTTGGTGAACTAAAATTGTTTTAATTTATTCTCTATTATAATTCATCTTTAAAGTTACTGATTTTTAACGAACTGATATTATTTATATATTATTTTTACTGAATATTATGTTTTAAAGGTGAAGTGAACATGGCATGACCTTCATTCTATATTATACTTCAATTGATTAAAAAAACATTAAAGTAACCTGTTCACTTCACCTTAAAATAATATTATTCAGTAAAAATAATTTCAATTCAGCAAAAATAATTTTATTTCAGTAAAAATAATTTCAGTTCAGTAAAAATCAGTAAGTTTAAAGAAGAAATATAAAAGAGAATCAGTAAAATTAATTTCAGTTCAGCAAAAAAAATTCAGTTAAGTAAAAATAATTTAAGTTTAGCAAAAATAATTTCAGTTCAGTAAAAATAATTTCAGTTCAGCAAAAATAAGGTAAAATGAACGGGGCTTAACAGCCTTAATATAGGTAATTACTTTTTTTTTTTTTTAGTTTTTTTTCTTTTGTTGTTCATATTATACAATCTTATATAATGTATTAATTTTACCACTAATTAATGTATGACATACATAATTATGGAGTGCACATGTTAGGTAAAATTATTAAAATTTGAAACTATATATTGTGAATAATCTAACAAAATTTCATATGAATACATTATTCTATACATGAATTGGTGATTTATGGTTAAATTAAAGTTAGTGACATTTTTTATTTTAATATTTAAAAAAACAATTGTTTAGTCTTAAAAACTGTAACATTTTCATTACATCAATCAATTCAATGAAATTATTCATTGAAGATTTTAAGCTAAGGATGTCGTCAAAAGGGATATTAATTAACTTATATTTAAGGAGTATTACATGTGTAAAATTGGAATTTTAAATTACTGAATTTAGAAAATAATCAACTTCGTATTTTTCTTTCACGTCAAAGATTTTTTGTGGAGCTAATAATGGCGTGATAAATCCCTAGTGAGGGGAAATCTAAATGACATATGTATGTTAATTACTATACAATATGACAAGATAACTCCTCCGCATATTAATTTGCACCAAAAAAAAAATATAATACGAAGATTTGCCACTTGTCTATTATGAAGTAGTAATTTCTATTAACACTTCCTTTACATATTATGCGCGATACCATGTTAAATATGGGTCAGTTCACTTCAAAAGTCCAAAAAAAAATTTCATCTCAAAACCATATAAAGTGTTTACCTCTCTCTTCTTTTCTCAATGTGGGACATACACTAACATGTGCTATTCGAGAAAGTTATATTTCAACAATTTGTGAGGGATAAAAAATTCAAAAGTTGCACATACTATGAGACAGAGGTAGTATTAAGTTACAAAAATGCTTACAGATGGAGCAGGATTAGTAGAAGATGAGGATTGATCATCAATGGCTATGTACTCATTCATCTTCCAGTCAGTCTTAGAGCCTGATCGACTACGAGCTCGGCCACGGTAGAAAACCATTGTCCTCTTAATACCTATGACTTTATTCGAGGAGTAGACGTTACTAGGAGACCCGGTGGCCTTCCAGTAACCGAGGGTGGTGAGGCGGTTCGGACGTCCTCCATTAGCTTCTCTCTCTTGCTTTGGTATGAAGAAGAACCATTCTTGCAGCTGTGGATCATTCCTACATCGCTTCCCTGATAATTCTGCAATGCATGCGTAATATTATTTTTTTAGAGAGAGGATATTTATGCGACAAAAACAAACGAAAAAAAAAAAAAAACTAGGGAAGAAATAAATTAGGTTTTATACAATTTTAAATATTTTAAATAGGAAAAAAAAAGACCTAAGTTTTGTTACTTTATTGTACATGAAGTATATATTAACTTCCGTTCAAAAAAATTAAAATTTTCTTATTTTTTTTTAATTGTTATGGTAGAAATTAAAGAAAACACTCGTTAAGAAAGGTATCTAGACACCACAATATAATTGGTCCGATTTTGTATTTATGCCGGACAAAGGGAATATATACGTTGTCACTTGATGAGATAGCTTATTACTAAGCTAGCTAGCTACTTTAACATTTTATTTTTAGTTATGGTTTTTATCCATTTCGTTTTACTTGCAAAGTTGATCTTCCAACTTATTGGTATGCAATGCTCATATATATTATGTAAGAAATTAAAACTTAGTAATGTGATTTGACTAAATCTCAATTATAATGTGACTAATAATTCTAAATGATTGAAGTAAAAACCAGAGTTGAGTGACTCGAAAGAAAGATGTACGAAGTATATATATTTCTTGATGAAGATGCATGGTGATCAAAGATTAAAATGGAAGAATCGAGATCGAAAATAACATACGTGGAAGATCCCATGGATTATAATCATAAATATAAACCACAGGTATAACACCATCGATATCTTGTGTTCCTCGTCCTTGAAGCTTTTGTTGAAGATAAAACGATATTAACTCTTCTTCTGTAGGATAAAATCGAAACCCTGGTGCTTCCATTATTGTAATTATTATTTCATCAACGTAACTTCAACTGTTTTTTTTCTTTTTTCTTTCTTTTTTTTCTTTTTTTTAAACACAAACAATAAATGACAAAAATAAAAGCAAATAAAAAAAGACAAATCAAGTAACGATGATGATAAGAATGAATAAATAATGGAATACAATAAGGGGCAACTAAGAACAAGTGGGGAACTTTCTTAGAAAAGTTATGATGTGCTAAAAAACACGTCACTGTACTCTTAATGACACGGTTTTGTTGAAGAATAATATTCAAGCTATAGCGTGTGTAACTGTCAAGTAAAGCAAGACTATTATTGAATGAAATGGTGAGTCAAGCTTATAAACAATATGTTGTGAAGATATATGATTTTTTTATTTTTTTTTTATTTTTGAAAGGCTGTGAAGATATATGATTAAGATACTATTTCTTTTGTTTCTAACAATAACTATTCCCTACCAATTGGGTGTTGATGCAGTGGTGATTGAGAATTCACTTGGTAGAGAGAACTGCGTGTTCGATTCCCCACAACAACAATTGAAGGGGGATTGGAACCTAACAACCTAGAACTGATCCCCGAATTTGGATTACCTTAAAGGGTGAACCGAGCGTGGAACACCAAAAAAAAAACAAAAAAAAAAAATCCTACGTTACTAAAAAATTGATACATTTGACTTTTTTTTCTTCTCAACTTGACCATTTTAGACATGAAGCTTATTTTTAATTAGAAAAAATTTACTTTTACCACCTAAAAAAACAAAAAAAATGTCTTTTACAAGCCAATCTTCTAATTTTTTAATTTTAACACCAAAAATAAATTAAGAGTTGGATTTCACTACCACTTAACGGATACCGTACGTGAATCCATTAATTCATGTTTAAAAAAGTAGGGCTACTGAGCTTATTAGGTTCAGTTAGTCTAGAGAATAGTCCCTTGATTGAAAACACTAGGGTTGTTAAAAATATATGTTGTATTCATTTGCTTTCCAAAATAAACTAATTAATAACAATATGTCCAATCTAATTGATTAAATCCAAATCAAAGATCTAACACCAATAGATTGATTAAAAAATAATTGAATTGTGTACCCGGGTGCATAATGCGCATCATGCACCTGTTTAAAAATGACACTCAATAAAACATAAAACACGCGTCCCTCAACAATACCTACCCCAAAGAACATGAGGGTAAATTCAAAGAACATGATCACTATGATCATAGAAGCTTAACGAAATAAACATGAACTCCAAAGTGCATAAGGGCTAAAAGAATATAATATATGAACCCCAAAAGAATATACGATTAAAGCAAATGAACATGAACCCAAAAGAATATATATTATGTATTCAAGTAAAATGAACATAATATTTAGACCTAAAAAACATTTTAAACCCGCCTACCTATCTTAAAGAACATAATTTGTAATTAAAGAGCAAATTCACTTGTTTTTTTTTTATAAAAAAGAATATAGATCAGAGTATGAAGTACATATGATGACAAGAACATACGAAGTATATTATAATCCAATGAATATAATATTCAATCTCATAAGATAACACAAAAATATACAACACTATATAAATAAATTAAATTTAATATTTTCTTTCACTAACGAATTCGCAGTCTCTCTATTACTAGATTTATTGAAACGACAAAATTGACTTCACAATACTTTTGAAACTCACTAATTGCTATATTAATTTCTATATGATAAGTTTTCTCTCCCTACTACAACCCCTAAAGTTGCATTTTCTCTCTTAATTTACAAAAATAAATGCTACCGTACAATTTAGAATTGGAAATTTATAATGTAATATCCCGTATTTTTGAAACGTATTTTCTAAATTAATTAATTATTATTTTTTAAAAAGCGTATTTTAGTAATTTATTTTACTATTTGAATTTTGGAGCCAAAATGATATTTGAATATAGGTGCCAATTATTTTAAAACCTAATTATTATTTTTGGATTTATTTTATTTTTTAAAAACCAAATTATTTATATATAGTTCGGATATTTTAATTAAGCAAAATTATATTTTATTATTGAGGTGTCCAAAAATTCCTAGTGATTGGATATGATTTTCGGATTTTCCTAGTGTGGAAAATCTAATTTTCTTAGCTAAATTATTTAGTGAATAATTGGTATTCTCTTAATTAATTATTTTATACAAAATATATAATTTACACAATTATTTTTTATCCCTTAAATCTAGCAAAATATTCCCTAAATACTACTTAGGGTGTCCGAAATTTTGAGCTATGGAAGCTCAAAAATTCGGCCACCAAGGTTGGATTTTGGGTGAATTATTTTGGTAAATTGTATATTTAATTATCTCCTTTAAATCTATTATTTTCCTTAATTCTTATTTCCCACCTTCTAAATATTTGATCATCTTATTTCCCTACCTTATTTCATCCTTGATTATTCCCGAAGCAAACTCCTTTTTCCATATTATTTTTCATGACAACATACTTTCCTTATTTTTATTATTCTTAATCACCTTAATATTAAAATATTCCATAAATCTTTAATTCTCTTCCCCAAATAATTCCTTAATTATTTTTACCATAATTCTTCCTACATTCTCCTACCATAATTCATGCATGAGCTAACCTATAAATACCCATTGATTCATGGCTAAACACTCACACTAAATTCTCTAATTCTCTCTTAATTTCTCTAATTCTCTTCTCCTTTTCTTCTACTTGTTCTTGCGCCAACCACCACCAAACACCACAATCACCACCTCCGGCTGCCACCAGCCGCCGCCACCAGTCACGGTAGCTACCAGCTGCCGCCCTTGCACTACAAGAAAACAACTAGATTCCGACGGAATTTTTCCGTCGGAAACATGGGAAAATCCATCGGAAAACGGCCTTTCGACGGAATTCCGTCGGAATCCGTTCGTCGCAAAACCCTACGTAGGAAATTGGACGTTTTCCGACGGAAATTCCGTCGAAAAGCCGTTTTCCGACGGAATCCATTCTGTTGGAGCTGGTTTTGACTTTAAACGGGAGTCCGTCGCAATTGTCCGACGAAAACGTTTTCATCGGAAAAGGACATGTTCCGACGGAATTATTCGTCGGAATCTTCCCTATTCCGACGGAAAAAATTCCGTCAGAACATCTCCTCTTCCGACGGAGAATTCTGTCGGAACATGTCCTTTTCCGACGGAAAATTCCGTCAGAAGAGGGAAGATTCCGATGAATTATTCCGTCGGAAACGGAGAAGATTCCGATGAATAATTCCTTCGGAAAGTAAGAGCTTTCGACGAATTTTTCCGTCGAAATTAGCCCTGTTTATTTAGCAAATTAAACGATTTAATTTGGATTTTGTCACCTATATATCCTGCATCTAATTTAAGATAAATTTGAATTTATGATTTAATTACGAAAATATTTTTATATATTTATTTATAATAATGTATACATTGTGTGCAACTATACAACATAATCTAAATCTAAATACATGTACATACTATATACACAAATTCTAAGTTATAGCCTGCACCTTGCCCTGCACCGTCGCTACCCGGGTCGTTCGTGGGGTCTCGACGCTGATGTGGAATGTTGGAACATGGGTCGTTGCTAGAGAATTGACGCATCATATCTTCATACCTCTCTTGGTTTCTCCTTTCTATTTCGGCCAATCGAGCCTCCACCTCGACTTCCATTTTACTCCGCATAGCTTGCACCCTCTGCTCCACCCTCTGTTCAACCTGATCCTGCATCTGGGAAAGAAAGGAAGGCGTGTACGTCTGGAAAGACATGGAACCTGAACCCTTCCTGTTGCCATAATACAGATCTGCACCGTGGCCAAGTCCCTTCACACGACCCTTCTTGTTCTGACCACCTACTGTTTCCCAATACAACTTATTTAGACTCTTTCGAATCCCTTGGGTGCTTGCTTCTTCAACTTTCTTCTGGTAGGCCTCCTACAAAATACACATGTGAAAAGGTGCACACAGATGTAAGTTAAAATCAGCTTTCTAAACAAAATAGAACCAACTAAGGCCTATATGACCTATTCTTTGCCTATTTTCTACATTTCTTACCAAATGAACCATTTCTTTCTCATAACATGTCTAATATAGGTAGTTTTAGGTGTAAATGCCTTGAAATCACAAAAAAAAAAAAAACCAACTCCCTAAGTTTTGGGAACGATTTGAACCAAAATAGAACCAACTAAGGCCTATATGACATATTCTTTGCCTATTTTCTACATTTCTTACTAAATGAACCACTTCTTTCTCATAACATGTCTATTATAGGTAGTTTTAAGTGTAAATTCCATGAAATCACAGGAAAAAAAAAACCAACTCCCTAAGTTTTGGGAACGATTTGGACCAAATTCAACCAATAGACCCCTATATGACCTATTCTTTGCCTATTTTCTACATTTCTTACCAAATGAACAATTTCTTTCTCATAACATGCATATGATAGGTATTTTTAGGTATACATTCATTGAAATCACAAAAAAAACCAACTCCCTAAGTTTTGGGAACGATTTGGACCAAAATTCAACCAATAGACCCTTATATGACCTATTATTTGCCTATATTCTACATTTCTTACTAAATGAACCATTTCTTTCTCATAAAATTCATATTATAGGATGTTTTAGGTGTACATGCCTTTAAATCACAAAAAAAACCCAACTCCCAAAGTTTTGGGAACGATTTGGACCAAAATAGTTACAACTGAGGCCTATATGACCTATTCTTTGCCTAATTTCTAAATTTCTTACCAAATGAACAATTTATTTATCATAACATGTCTATTACAGGTAGATTTAGATGTAAATTCCTTGAAATCACAAAAAAAAAACCAAATCCCTAAGTTTTGGGAACGATTCGGATCAAAATAGAACCAACTGAGGCTTATATGACCTATTCTTTGCCTATTTTCTACATTTCTTATCAAATGAACCATTTATTTATCATAACATGTATATTTTAGGTAAATTTAGGTGTAATTTCCTTGAAATCACAAAAAAAAAAACCAACTCCCTAAGTTCTGGGAACGATTTGGACCAAAATTCAACCAATAGACCCCTATATGACCTATTCTTTGCCTATTTTTTTCATTTCTTACCAAATGAACCATTTATTTCTCATGAAATGCATATTATAGGTAGTTTTAGGTGTACATGCCTTGAAATCATAAAAAAAACCAACTCCCTAAGTATTGGGAACGATTTGGACCAAAATTCAACCAATAAACCCCTATATGACCTATTCTTAGCCTATTTTCTACATTTCTTACCAAATGAACCATTTCTTTATCATAAAATGCATATTATAGGTAGTTTTAGGTTTAAATTCCTTGAAATCACAAAAAATAAAACCAACTCCCTAAGTTTTGGGAACGATTTGAACCAAAATAGAACCAACTAAGGCCTATATGACATATTCTTTGCCTATTTTCTACATTTCTTACTAAATGAACCACTTCTTTCTCATAACATGTCTATTATAGGTAGTTTTAAGTGTAAATTCCATGAAATCACAGAAAAAAAAACCAACTCCCTAAGTTTTGGGAACGATTTGGACCAAATTCAACCAATAGACCCCTATATGACCTATTCTTTGCCTATTTTCTACATTTCTTATCAAATGAACAATTTCTTTCTCATAACATGCATATGATAGGTATTTTTAGGTATACATTCATTGAAATCACAAAAAAAACCAACTCCCTAAGTTTTGGGAACGATTTGGACCAAAATTCAACCAATAGACCCTTATATGACCTATTATTTGCCTATATTCTACATTTCTTACTAAATGAACCATTTCTTTCTCATAAAATTCATATTATAGGATGTTTTAGGTGTACATGCCTTTAAATCACAAAAAAACCCAACTCCCAAAGTTTTGGGAACGATTTGGACCAAAATAGTTACAACTGAGGCCTATATGACCTATTCTTTGCCTAATTTCTAAATTTCTTACCAAATGAACAATTTATTTATCATAACATGTCTATTACAGGTAAATTTAGATGTAAATTCCTTGAAATCACAAAAAAAAAAAACCAAATCCCTAAGTTTTGGGAACGATTCGGACCAAAATAGAACCA